GTGATTTCCCAGTGCCACCTAAGGGAATCAGTGTGACTCATACACCTGGTAGAATTTTGTGGCCCTACAGTTTTTTCTGTAGAAACCGTTAGTCATTGTCTTCTGGCTTTTTGACCTCCAGGTGGACATTCACAGCACCAGGGAATCGGATTTTTAAGGCTTCATTTTTCTGATGGGGATACTTGCTTCTTTTGTTCCATGTGTTGGGTTGGGATTGGGCCTCATCACAGAAACCCTAACCTGTGCTTTATGAGGGTAGATCAGGAGCCGCTCTCCACCTCAGAGGCCTTCTAGGAAACATCCTGCCCGGTGATTGAAATGGGAAAAGCATTATGGTCACATCCTCCAGCCAGCCCTCTGTCTTAGAGGGATCTAAGCCTATACCCTCCACCATAGTTTGTTTTTTATGTAGTGTTCTTTTTCTTTATTTGGAAAGTAATTCACATCTATTGTAGAATATGGACAGAAGTAATGAACGAAAGTATCTTGTAGTTTCACCATTCAAGGAACCATAAGACAGCTATGCTTTGAATCGGCATTGGTAATATTTCACGTCCAGTTATGTTCATTGTCATGTCACCTCCATGATACTCATTCCATTCCTTTTATTTATTTCTTGAATGAGAATCCCATTTAAAAACAACTTTCATACACCTAAAGACAGTTAAATAAAGAGTATGTCTATATTAACTCAGTTAAGTCTGGCTTGGTTCAGAGAAGAATGACTGTATGGGGATTTTAACTGTGATGCTTTGCAAAAAAGTTCTCCTTTGAGAAGGTGTGACTGTCTTCACTCCAACATGTTGTGCTGTGCAGGTGTGTGTATTGTTATTGAGTTTATTTTACACATTTATAATGTGTATGTGACAGACAGGGTAGGCTGGGGCTGGAGTGTGGACAAAGCACATCGTAATACAAGGGCTTTCGATGTTAATCATCTGTTGCTTCTACCCTAGGTGGTAAGGCATTGAGGACCAAAGCAACACCCTTATCCTTCATTTTCCCTTAGCATTGAGAGTCTAACATAAACAGTAAATGTTCAATAAAACAAACTCTGGGGCTTCGACAAGAGATTTGTTGGATGTTTTATGCTGCCAGAGAGCCCCAGAGGCCAGTTCTTCTCACCTTGTCCAGGTGTCTTTGTTGTGGTGAAGTGGCTGTGCCAATTGTTAGTCCTAATGCATCTGGTTGTGGTTGGGATTTTGGCGTCAATTTGGTGGACTTCATTAAAACCACCTTCATGGGAATAGGTTTCTTGAATAGTATCACTTTGCAGCTGAATTTAAAACCTGTTCAAAAAAGAAAAAGAAAAAAAGGTGTAATAAGTGACTCAGATGATAAAGCAAATAAACCAAATATCTTATTATATAGACTGTCAAATTCAATAAAACATGAATGCTGAAGAGTAGATTAATGTGCATGCTAACCGTGCAGGTTTAAAGGTGACCCTAAACTAAGTCCTTGGCAAATACTGTATTTGCAGAGGTAAAGAGCTGTGGCTTTAATCAGGTACATTTATTTAATGGGAGAAAATTCTTTAAAATGAGTGTTTCAAAAATATAGTATAGACCAAAATTTCCTATTAATTTGAAAAAAGTTCTCACTTTCCTGGTTAGTGATAGAGGATAAAGATTTGAAAACTTTGCTTACCAAGTGGATTGGCCACTGTGTTCTGAAGATGCTCAGATGCTGCTATTCTCAGTACAGTAAATGAAGCCTTAATCCTAGTGGTGAAGTGATCACCGGGAGAATGATACCCATGGAGGACCAAAGCCGAAAACACTGTCAAGATGACAGGATGGGAACATTTGACAAGGAACTTGTCAGCGCGTATGGCTGTGGGCAGTAGCTTTTTCACGTGATAACCAGACAGATTGTGTCAGTGAGTCAGACTAAGAGCAACTTGTAGAAAGTGGCTGCCCTGAATCCCAGTGAGGAGATGTGGGATCTGGTCTGATCTCATCTCATCTCTTCCCTCTATTTGCTATGAGGAGCTGACTTCTTTGGGCTTCGTTTTTCTCATCTGTATCAGGAAAGGTTGGTGTAAATGAAATCACAGATCTCTTTGGCTGTCATTGCTATGATTTTTGTTCTTATTGGTTGTGGTGGTGGTTTTGTATTTATTGTAATGCAATGATTTTAAACGTAAGTTCAGTTGTTGCCTTTAATACCCACTCTATTTTAGTATGGACAAAAATTGGAGGAAAATAGTTTTAGATTAAATACCATGCATTTTAGTAAAAAGCTTAGCTCTATTGTTTTTAACAGACTGTCACTAATAAAGAAAATACATTGTTTTTATTAATTGACATGTTATATATTGTATATTTTCTAAATTCCTTAAATATTGATAAATATGCATGTGCTCGTTCATATTAAACATGTTCTAAATTTGCATTTTACCATCTACTACAACAAAGAGAAGTCTTTTTTGTGTTATTATCCTATATAATAAAAGCCCAATATGCAAATCGACCAAATGAAGGAACAACCTGCAGAACAACTGGTTGCTATGAGGCACACTGACCACCAGAGGGCAGACACAATGCAGGAGCTGCCCCCAGCCCACAGGCCTCAAACCAGTCAAGAGAGGTGCCAGCAGGGCCCCTGATCGCCCCACTGGTCACCCTGCGGATTGGCCCTGATCGCCTGCCAAGCCTAGGGACCCTCCCCATGCATGAATTTCGTGCACCGGGCCTCTAGTTTAATAAATAAAATACTATTCTACTTAATCTATTTTTGCTGGTTTCTGCAAGTAATGACAAAGACACTTGGCTTTTTTATTTTTTGTTAATCTTCACCTGAAGATATTTTTCCATTGATCTTGAGAGAGAATGGAAGGGAGGGGGATAGACAGAGAGAGAGAGAGACATCAATTGGTTGCCTCCCGCATACACCCTGACCAGGGCCAGGGACTAAGCCTGCAATTGAGGTACATGTCCTTGACTAGAAGCAAACCCAGGACCTTTCAGTCTGCGGGCTGATGCTCTATCCACTGAGCCAAACTGGCTAGGATGATATTTTGGCTTTTTAGAGTCTTATTACAATATAGCTGAAGAACCAGATTAATAAATAAAAGTAAGGAACTTGCTATTGTACTTTACATCTCTTAGGAAACACCATAAGGTGTAAATTTGATCTACTTTCTGGAGTCATTAAGCTTTATTTTGAAGTGATGCAGAAAAGTGTGACTGTGTAGACTGGCCTGTTCCACCTTCCTGAAAGAGTTGTTTGCTTTGGTCAGTATATCTTCTGCAGTCATTGCTGCACATGAATAAAATTTAGCAAAGGAAAATTGATTCCCTCGACATCACCTTTTCTTTCTCTCTAAACTTACCCGGAAACTAGTAGTAATTGCTTTTAATTAATAATGACAGTTACCCCTCTAATAAACTATTATACACCTAACAAGTGATTTCAATGAAGAAACACAAAACTGAGGTTAAAATAGGAATGGTAGAGGAAGGGAAAGAATTTCAGATGTAGACTAAGAAGATCACATATATTGGGTCAGACTGGTGTGTGGTTATTTTTTGAAGGTGCATCAATCTCTGTGCACACTCCATCAAGTGTGTTAGCAGTCATGCTTCAGCCAGGGTTATGGCACAGTGACACATTTTAAAGCCATATTTTAGATGTTGAAGTTGGGCTTACACACGTCAAAATCTGAATTTGTTTTCTTAATGTCGTGTTTGCATTCAAGAATGAGTTAGGCCAATTTCCATTGCTCAAATTCTGCTTCCCAGTGTGAATAATGTGGGAAATCCTTGAGTAAAGCATTCTTATAACTGGCATGACAGACAAACAGATTTTAAATATTCAGGTATATTGAGGCAAGGAACTTATTGAAATCAAAAATGTATTTGGCTCATTAGTGGGCTCATGTGAAAGAATCATCTTTCTTCCATTTGATGGTTTTTTTTAATAGAAAATAAAATTGAAACTAGCTGAACAGTTTCAGGCAAAACTGTCAATTCGGTTTGCAACTCCTAGTCTGCACGTAGGGGACTTTTGAAAAAAAATATTAATCATAACTTCCTTAAAGTTTTAATTAGCTCAATTAAAGAAGGAAGGGCTGTGGCTCATTTTGTGGAACACTTCTGTCATTGACTCTGTCTATAGCAAACTAGTAGTTGACAACTTTTGCAGTTGGCTACATTTCAGGCTCGGAGTTGCAGGGAAGACTGTCCTCGGAGGCAGTCATTTACAGCCCTGTCATGTTTTCCACTTGCACCTGTTACTTTACATTTCACTTCTTTACTACGTGCAGGCTCATACATCCCCAGAGAGAACTACCATGGCTTAGCAATGCAGGGTCTCTAGAATGGATCCTAACGTTGAAACATCTTAATCCTGTGAAATATGAGCATATTCTCCTCCAAGTTTCAGCTGCCATACCAGGCTGTAGGTGAGGGATCAGGCTGTGGAGGCATTTGTATGCTATTACGGCTGTGCATACCATTAAGGTCTAGTATCACAGGCTGATATCAAAGTTGCTAATGTATGACCTTGCCTAGGCTTAAACTCTGAATGCTGGACTCCCGAGAGCACTCATGGGAAGGTGCAGTTAAAATAGTGTCAAAGATTGGAAGTCTATATGTGAGCTAAGTTTCACCTGTTCACTTGTTGGCAAATGCAATCTGCATGCATGTTGCCTCAGATCACCTCTGCACATTTTGCTTGGCCTACTGATCAGGAGCTGGGGTTTGTTGTTGAATCCCACGTACAGTCTGATTTGTTATATGGTTGAGTGAAGCCGAGCTTCATTGCCCACGGGTATCTGGCCTGAGAAATGATGAGCAGTGCACACAATTATGCGGTCCTCCCAATGTACGGAAATAGCTTTGTGGTGATGGGTTTATGGTTGGTGGTTTGGACCTGCAATCCTCAATTCGGTGCAGGTAAAGATAGAGAGCAACATCCTTTTTTTTTTTAAGTGCATGTGCCTGTGCTAAGAGTGTAATCTATAGTGTTACAGAAGTTTCCTTTTTTATTTGTAGATATAATACTTTGCCAAGCAGAAGAACCTTGAAAAATTCAAGATTAGTGAGTAAGAAGGATGATGTGCATGTCTGCATCATGTGTTTACGTGCCATCATGAATTATCAGGTATGTTTGTGTTTCTGATCCTTGAAAAAAAATCTGAATTTGTCAGACTCCAATCTTGTCCTTTTTGGTTTCCTTATATTATTTCTGTTTGAAGTAAATATCAGGATTAAATGAGATTCTATTGAAAAAGAAAGGTCTGGTTTTTTTCTAATGCTCAAGATTTAATTTATTGCCTTGATATTTTAATTAGCATTTATCATGTATTTAAAGGGAAGATGTTTGCCTCCTACAATGATAAACTTGTCTAGATTACTTGACCAACGTTTGGGACCATTTAAGACAGGGCAGTAATGGGACAACTTTAGAACAGTAGGAGTGAGTAGACTCACACACTGGGTTGGTCATTGGTTCTCAAAGGGCTCTGTGGTAAACAGGCAAAAAGTTACAATTACTTGTCTGCTGGACCCAGTGGGTCCTAGTATCTATAAGAAACACCCGAAGGATTTTTGTTACAAGTTGGGCTCCTTCTTCAGGTCATTGATGTAGGTTATCTCCACTCTGAGAAACACTGGGAGAGAGAGTGCCTTGTGGGGGGTTGGATTAATCGTAACAGGGAAGTGGAAGTTAGAGCCTGGAATATCTAGGGTAAACAGACATGGTCAAAGGTATAATTAGATCAGCTAACCAGGGTGAGAATTAGAAAAACAAAATTCATATGTAAAAATATTATTTGATTTCCATTTTTAAGGATGCTACAGGTGGGCTCAAGAAGAAATGGGAAATAAATACCACATAGAGGGTCAGTAATTGAATTCAAACCCAGCCCAATGTAATGGTGCTGAATTGAATTAAAAAAGGGAACATGCATTTATTTTTTCTTTAGTCAATTAATATATTTTTTAGCATTGTCAGACCCTGTTCTAAGCATAGGAATACAGCATTAGATAAACAAGTGTCCTAGGGAACTTACTTTCTAGTGGGAGAAATAGATGATAAATTGTTAAACTATATAGTGTTCCAGATACGGTTGCTGATGAAATGAAAACTAATATTTACAAATACTTTTAGTGTTTTTAAACCAATTAATTAATGTAAGACTCATAACAGTGCTGTGAAATCTCAGGACTATTACTTTCCCCATTTTATTAATGAGGAAACTGAGAGATAAGACAGAGAAGTAATTTGCTCAACATTATGTGACTAATAAATGCTGGAGTCAGATTCAAACCCATGAAGACTGGCTCCAGAGTTCTATTACTAAGTGTTATAGAAAAAATAATCAGGAATTAGGAATAGGAAGTGGTGGACATATCTGTTCAGTTTTAAATAGGCCAGCCAGGCCCTAACCGGTTTGGCTCAGTGGCTAGAGCGTTGGCCTGCGGACTGAAGGGTCCCAGGTTCGATTCCGGTCAAGGGCATGTACCTTGGTTGCGGGCACATCCCCAGTAGTGGGTGTGCAGGAGGCAGCTGATCGAAGTTTCTCTCTCATTGATGTTTCTAACTCTCTATCCCTCTCCCTTCCTCTCTGTAAAAAATCAATAAAATATATTTTAATAAATAAATAAATAAATAAATAAATAAATAGGCCAGCCAGGAAAGTGTCACCAGGATAACATTTAGTAACAACTTACACGAGGGAGCAGGCTAAGGGATATGATAGAAAGTGGATTCCAGGCAGAGAGAAGAGCAAGGGCAAAGGCTCTGAGACAGGAATAAGTTTGATGTGATCAAGGTATAGAAAGGAGGGCAGGTTAGATGGGTCAGAGTGAGAAGAGGGAAAGGTAGACGATGAAATCTGAAGCTAACAGGGCTTCCTGGCTGTGGGGGGCTTTGTAAGCCAGTTGGAAGACAGCTTCACTATGAATGAAAAGCTATTAAAGGGTTCTGAGGAAAAGTGTGAATTAATCTGACACTTGAATTTAACATGATCACTCTGGTTTTTATGTTTAGGATTAACCTTGAGGGGCAGAGACAAAAGTAGGTAGACCATTTAGGAGGCTGTTGCATTAATTTAAGTAAGTGTTGATGGTGGTATGGACTGGGACCATAGGAGTAGAGATGATGAGAGGTGGCTAGATTCTGGTTTGATTTTGTTAGTAAAGGCAATAGTATTGCATATGTGGTGAGGAGTGAAGGGTGGCTCCAAGGTGTTTGTCTTGGGCACCTGTTAGATGGAGGTGCTATCTACTAAGATGGGGAAGGCTGCAAGATGAGCAGATTTGAGACTCATGATTAGGAGTTCTTTTTGGAGGATGTTAACTTGGAGGTGTTCTTGGACATCCAAATAGAGACCTTTAGTAGGTGGTTAGATATGCCATTTGAAGTTCAGAGCAGAGGTCCGGCTGGAGGGACAAATTTGGGAGTTAATAGATGGTATATGGATGAGGTAAACATATACACAGAGAAGCAAAGAGGTCCCGGATAATCATGGAGCATTCTGTTTAAATATCAGAGAGATGAGGAAAAACTAGCTAGAGAGACTGAGAAGTAGCCAGGGCGGTAGATCCAAGTGCAGGAAATGTTTCAGGGTAGAGTGCTCAGCTGTGTCCAGGGCTGTGCTGTCATGTAAGATGAGGAGTGAGAGTGTGGGCCATTGGTGATGTTGGTACGAACAGTTTCATTGGAGCGGTGGTGATGAACTGCCTGATGGGAGGAGTTTCAGGAGAGAACAGAGATGACTGGGAGTCTGAGTGCTGGAGTTTTGCTGTAAAGGATAGCAGAGACATGAGGCAGTAGCTGGACAGTGTAGGGCCAGGAGATATTTGGTTGTTGTTACTTAGGGTAAGATCATTTGCATCATGTTTTTATGTTAATGGCAATGAGTTAGAGAGGGAAAAATAATGGTGGGGGTGGGGGAATTGTTCGAGTATATTCCCCTGAGCAGGAATAAAGGACCCAAGTGGGGACTTGACCTTAGATTGGGGCTTGGGAGAATTCATCTTGAGGAAGCGGTGAGGAGGTAATCCGAAGATCTATGTGGGGAGGATTCATGTGATGGTGGAAGCTTTCGGAAGCTTTTTCTGCTAATACTTTTTCGGTGTCACCGGAAATAAAGTCATGAGCTAAGAGGAAAAGGAATAATTCCTCAACTCAGCAGAATCAAGAATGATTCTTGAGCCTGTTATTGAACTTGCTTCATTTTGTAGAAGGTTGCGGCACACAAGTTTTCCTAGGCTTTTTGTCCTGTTCGCCATGGCACAGAGAAGGGAGTAGATGCAGTGGTTATTAATCCTGGCTGAACGGTGGAGTCCTTCTGAGAGCTTCAAAAAAATTCAGATGCCAGGGTCCCGTCCTTGAGATTCATTGTTTTGTTTGTTTTGTTTACTCTCTTAGGTGATTTTAATGAGCAGCCAGGATTGAGAATCAATGGGCTGGAGCTTTTTCACCCTTTTAATAAAGAGGATCATATAGTTTATTCATAAAATATGGAAATAGGGCCCCTTGATAGTAACATCATTCCTGAACTTTTTCCTGGAAATATGTTCAGACACTGATTACTGGAGTCATGAATGCATTTAAAGATGGAAGAAATTACATTAGGTAGAAACGTTAGGGGGTTGTTTTTATCAACATTGACAGCTTCTAGGTTGACTCCTAATACCTTGTTTTTTTTTCCCACCTTAATTTCAGTATGGTTTCAACATGGTCATGTCTCATCCACATGCTGTCAACGAGATTGCACTAAGCTTGAACAACAAGAATCCAAGGTAAGCTTGATTTGCAATGTACATGTTTAAATCTAAGTAGGGAAAGCAGAGAGCTAGTCAATACTTAACAAAGTTAGAGTTTGGAAACTTGCAAGTGTGACTCTTTGAAATAAGATTACCAGTAGACTTCTTGCTATGTAGACCAGCTGAATGAGATTCTTACATGTGGCAGAGTCAAGCAACTGGTGACAATTCCAGCCCTTCTCTCTTCTCTTTAAGCTTTCATTCCTTTTGGGACCTAGTTCTCAGCATCCTTGCAAATTTAGCAAAATTTGGTGGAGAGCATGAGGTTGTCAGGTTGCCAGTTCTCATACAGACTTACCAGGTATTGCCAAAAGCTAACTAGAACCATGATGCCTTGTCCACACTTCACTTGCAATATTTAGATCTGTAGCTTTTATTACCAAAAGTGAAACACAAACAAAACAATAATTGTGCATGCAGATTTGTTTTGTTAATCCTCACCTGAGGATATTTTTTCCATTGATTTTTAAAGAGAGGGAGGGAGAAGGGGGGGTGGAGGAGGAGAGAGAGAGGGGGAGAGAGAGAGAGAGAGAGAGAGAGAGAGAGAGAGAGAGAGAGAGAGAGAGAGAGAGAGAGAGAGAGAGAGAAACATAAATGTGAGAGACACATCAATTGGTTGCCTCCCACACCCACCCCAACTGGGGCCAGAAATCAAACTTGCAGCCCAGGCACATGCCCTTGATTGGAAATGGAACCCATGACCCTGCCCTGTGGGAGCTGACACTCTTATTCACTGAACCATACCAGCCAGGGCCAGATTTCACTTTATATTCACTTTCCTATAAAGGCTGGTGCCCCATATTATTCACATCACAGATTACTTCTGGAAGCCTGCCTTCATCAGTTTATTTTAGTTATTCTAATATGTTTTACATTCTGGTGAGGCCCTCTGCATTTGAAATGTGTTATTTCCCTTTATCAGACACCTCTGTGTAAAATACCTGTCTGAAAACTGTTAATTCAAGTAAAGAAATCTGGTTATAAATTAGATCCTTTCTGATCTGGAATGCAATGCAAAGCAAGAAGTCCTATTTAGATGTTAATATTATGGCTTCAAACTTCTCCGGGTTAAAGCTTTTGTAACTTCATGGTTGCTTCTTTAGTTTACAAGAATCCCAAGTAGTCATGCTTCTGTGTCCCTGTCTTCCCCCACGGAAAGTCACTATTCATCTTCCTTAAGATAACTGACGCTGTGGGTTATCAGAATGGTCTTTGTTTAGAGGTCAGTAATAGATTTTATTCCAGAAAATGGTGAAACACTGAAGTCATCTTAGGATGAAGAAACAGTGCTGTCCTTGACATTGTATTAAGAAGCTTGGAATGTATCTCTAGGTTCTCCTAAAAATATTTCAGATGGAGTTTTATTTTCTTTCCTTGAGTTACAGAAAATATTCTCGTATTAGTAGAGCTGAAATCCAGATCCTTTTACACCTCCTGCAGAGGAAGAAGAAAGGATGGAAACTTGCATTGTCGTAGGGGATTTTTCTGGCGCCATGTGCAAATTAGCAGATGTGAAATGTAGGGCATTAATTTCAATCGATTTTGAACTTTCTTGGCAAATGTTATGTCTCTGATTTTAAAACCAGAGACAATATTTAACAGTGGGTTGTTTTCTTGAATATTCCCAAGTTTCCTCTTGTCTTTAGATCACTAATAAACCTTTTCAGCCACACTGTACTGAGTCATCTGATGATGGGACTAAAAGATGAATCTTTCCAGAATTAATTTTCATTAGTGAGTAATGTGTAACTTAGAGAGTGGGAAACATGCCTTCCAAATTTGCTACCCTAGATAAATCACATATTCTAGAGATAGGTAAAGATTTAAATATGTACGTTAGTGTAAGTATACCTTAGTAAAAGTTTACAAAGCATACAGACAAATATTTTATTATACTGATCTTGGATGCAAGGAACAGCTGATTCATCTTGTCACATTCACTGACTCGTGGTTTTTTCTTTTTCTTCTTGTTTTGACAGAACAAAAGCCCTTGTGTTAGAACTGTTGGCAGCCGTTTGTCTTGTCAGAGGCGGGCATGAAATCATTTTATCAGCATTTGACAACTTTAAGGAGGTAGGATACTTTTCAGTTTTAAAAAGAATCCTCACGCAAACATCTTATGTTTGGACATCTTTGAATAGAATGATTTAATTTTTTTATTCATTCTAGGGTGTAAGGGGTTTCATAGTTACTTTTCTAAGACGTCAGTGAGTGGGTAGCAATGAACTTAGTCTACACAGCTTAAGTGGAATGGTGTCTCATATACAAGAAAAGTTAAAAACTATTTGCAGTACTCATTTTCCTTTGGAGAACATGGCATAGGCAGTTTGAAAACAGGTTTTGTTAAATGTATGTGGTTTTCATTATGGTTGATACTTGAGCATCCACCATGTAAATTTTATGAATTCATTCATCATAGTTCTTTTCCTCAAATCATATGTATCGTCATTACTTTGCTGGATGCTATGAAAAACTTATCACATATATATAGACACTGTTAGCAGCTTGGAATCTTAAACAGGTGATGCTTTCCCAGGAAAACAGTAAACCAATGGATATGCATGGTTGACCATGGGAATTAAATGACGGCAAAAGAAGAAACAATTACGTATGAATAATAGGACACCAAAGGTTCCGGGCCAAAGTACCAAGACCTCAAAACTGGAATAATAGCCAGTTTCCCTTAGCGGCGGTGTGCAGCATTACAGAGCCAAGGAGAGTGCCTGTTGGATCCCCTGGAATGTGCCCCACATCTGAGGCTGCTTTGAGGGGAGACATTACAAAAGTAATTGAAGGCACTTGGAGCCCCAGGTTACCAGGTTACCATGGGACCGTGAGCCAAGCTGTGCCTTTTCTGTCAATCCCATTTGACTCCAGATGCTTCTGGATTAATACCCAGAAGCTAGATTACAATCCGGATCTCAGGGGACTTCCGTACTCTCTCCCATCTTTCCTGGGAGCCTCTGGAGTAGAACCCGGCTAGGATTTATTGAGGGCCTACGATAGGCCAGGGGCTATGCCTGGTACACACAGGAAATCACTGGATTCTGTATGAACATCTGTGAGACAAGTACTAATATCTCCCTGTTATAAAAGAATAAGCTAAGATTCCAATGCATGTTGGCCCGGGGTCACATAGCCAGGTGAGGGACAGAGCCAGGATCAGGGTTTGGTGCACCTTATTTTGAACTTCCTTTCGGGTGATATTTGGGCCCAGTTCTGTGTGGATCTCCTGAGGGAAATGCTGAGTTAGACAGGACCTTGGGGCCATTCCCCCCACCCTGCCTCCTTTGAATATATGAAAAGAGCAAGTCTTTTTCATGTCAAAAGCACGTACTAACAGTTATCAATGAGCCTTGTTATAAAATGAGCTATATAACGAGCATCTGATTATACTGCAGGCCACATGATGTCCTAAAATTATGAAGGTATAGAATCAGTATTAATTAAATTCAGTAATTTATGAGGGGAATGTTAATTCTGCTTTTTCTTAGGTTAGCTAGATTGCCTTTCTTATGCATAGTAGGCATACAAATACTTGCAGAATTGATTTTTAGCTGTCAGGTGTCAGAATCGTTTATGACTTAGGCATTTAAGGTGTAGTGTATACTTAGATGGGAAAAAAAAGTAATCCTCAAAATCTAATAACTGGCTAGTCTCAATGAGAACTAATTAATTTTGACTTCGAAATTTTAGAGCTTTAACTAAAATCTGCCTCTTTTCTGTAATTACTTATAAGTGAGTAATGGTGGGTGTTTCAAGTTCTGATTCTCCTTTGGCTGGCATTTGCATCTACAAGAAGCTGTGCCATGTGGGAGAAGGGACAAGGACAGAGCTCGCTCTGTGTGCGCTATTGGCCTGCATTAACCTCAAGCCATGGTGCGCATGTGGCCAGACCAAGCAAAGGGATTATTCTCATCGCCATGAATGAGGACAGGGCAGGAGCCTGTCCCTGAAAACTTCCTTCTTATGGATAGGTCACAAGAGCATCATCCTATTTACCTTTTCAGTGTTAGGGTAAAAACAGTGTTTTTGTATTGATCTTTTTTTTTTTTTTTTTTTTTTTTTAATGTAAATACCACTCACAGCCCAGTCTTTTAAGTCTCTGCCTGTTTTTGTTTTCTTTTATTCCCATTTTTATGTGAGTGGATCTTTTTTCCCCTCAAACATCATAGTGAAGGGTGTATTCTGTAATCTTTTTAGCCAAAATGTCATTGGAATCTTCTGGGTTTAGGGTGGTTTGGGAGCCAGCTGTTCCTGATTAGGAAAAGTTGTCCTATGATCTCAGACGCCTGTGTAAGTAGGGTTTTGGTCAGTGAGTAATACCTATTGAGCTGCCCCTGGCAGAGAGAGCACCATGCCAGGTACCAGGAGACCAGGGAGTGGGCCAGAGGAGTCTTTGCCCTCAAGAAGATGATCTAGTAAGTTGGGATTCCATTCATTGCCTTCAGGGGGGTGATCCCTGTTTTTACAGTGGGGAATGGGATATCAGGCATCAGTATTCATTTTTGCATAAAGTAGGATGCATTAGAGTAACCAGACCCTTTGCACAGAGCACAGCCTAGCACAGTGCTGAAACATGGCACCAGATACTAAAGGAAAATTTAAAGACCACCCATTGTATGTATATAGCCGGGTCTCCCTCCCCCCATCTATTTCTTGAGCAAACAAATTCATTCTGTCCTATTTGGTCACCACTCCTTAATTCAAATGTAAATTGAAGAAGGTATCTTTTACCTCTTGATAGGTTTTCATGTAGGATTACACCATTTCCTCATATTTCAGTTAATCAGAATACCAGCAAGTTTTTTTGTGGGGTTTTTTTCCCCCCAAAGAATGTTGCTCATGTTTTATGAGATCTGAAGTACATATTTTAGGAAAGTGGGAAGCGCTTCCAATCGAATGATATCTGATGGTGGTAAGACTATGAACCCAAGGCCTGCATTTTGGTGGGTGTGGGGGGTTGGGGCCTATGCCTGATGTTACTGAGTAAGCACCTCAATGTATATGATGATAAATTAGTTGTAATTACATAGATTCAGATGGCAGACTTGTACTAATCATGGTTTGTGACATACCTGACCATGTGAGTGTAGCAAGTAGATGAAAACTAAACTGTTGTCAGCTGTTAATTTCTCTTTGAATTCTATTCTCTTTCATTGTTTTTCAAATGGAATTAAAGCATCTGGTTTTGGTGTTGAAGCATCTCCTTATGAAAATGTATGGTCCTGAATTGAGGACCAGGGTGAGAACAAGGAGTCATGTTTGTTTTCATGGGCTAGTTTATCTACATGGAAAGCGTATCACCATCTTCCCTAAAAGGATACGTTCCTAGTTGCATGGCAATATATATTTTTGAGCGTTTGGCCTGGCAGGTAGGGAAAAAAGACATTTGCAAGGCACGGTCATTCTTTCGGTGTTTGCATTAGTTCAGGATCTTGTCTGCAAGAAGGAGAAACTGACTCTACCGTGCAGAGGAAAGGGTTGGTTGGAGGATGGGAAGAAACAGGCCTGGAAAATGGGCAGGTGCTCCTCCGATGTGGCTGGACTCCCATGCTGTGCCTCGATGTCCAGCCACCATGAAACTATTTGGGATCCTGGTCATGCTTTCTCTTCTCTCTCAAATGGTATGGGCCATGGCTAGCAATCTGTTGGGTCATGAAACTGTACTTACTGGTTAAGGACATCAACTGGAGAGTTATAAGTACCATATTTAATCCAATTTCCTTAGGAACCTTGACCTTGATCTCCTCAACTTTCTTGGTCTTCCTAGTTTTTCCCATTATATCCTTTGATATATCTGAGAAATTGTCTCTGGAAAAAAAAAATACTCCCATTTGAAATCAGAGGGAAAAAGTCCCGAGGCGCCATAGACTCTGCAACAGAATAGCCTCCTATGACAGTAATAATGCCCTCTGAGGGCTCTGAGCTACCAGCTCCCCCAGGCTGCTGGGACGTGCACCTGGAATTCATCAGGATTCCAGATCGATTATAACTGTGTTCTCATCTGCTTCCAACATGACAGCATCTGGCTCTCACGAGTCAGTTGAGGCTGGAGTTTGGTTATTAAAACCCCAACTCCTTCCCCCTCTGACCTTCCAGGATCGATGGATGGAGCCCTGGGAAGTGAGTCACTCAAGGCCACCAGCGCTCTTGTGCATGGCCCTCTTGGCAGCATCCATTGTTATTTTCGCCTCTTGCTAGAAGGCTTCCTCAGAAAGCTGATGTGGTTTAGCTACTGGGCATCTGAAAGCACTTGTGCTTCACATTATTAAGTTGATTTAAGAAAGCCTGTCAGGTTTTATTTACAGTGGACCCAATTGGGCAGGAAGGAGAGCAGACATTTTGGTGCCCTTCCAGCATCCTTCTGAGTTTAATCCCAGCTAATCTAACCTCTTGAATATTTGTGGGTGTAGCGTTATAAATCCAGCACAAGACCAGCCGGGTAATTCCTTCAGTGGTAAAATTTTCAACATGGAGGGAAGTGTCCTTTTTTTTCCCCCCCAGTCTCTCATTGAACTATGAGCAATGTATTCTCTCAATCTCAAACTAGGGAGCTACTGTCCTAGAGCATGTGTATATTTCACTGTATCAGGCCAGAATTAGATTAAATTAATTCACTGAGGCTCTTCACTAGCCAGTCCGTCTTCCTAGGATCAGGAAGCAAAGTCACAGTAATGATTTTTTGGACTGTTTATTAACTATTGTTGTTATTGCTTGTGCATAATAAATCACCCCAAACTTAGTTTTATTAGGCTCCTAGATTCTGTGGGTCAGGAAGTCAGGCGGGGCATGGCAGGGATGATTGTCCTGGCAGGTCTGATCGTCTGGAGGCAGGAATTCATTTGAAAGTGGCTTCACTCATCTGTCTAGTTTCTGGGCTGTGATGACTCAAAGGCTGAACTCAGTGGTGGATGGAGCCTGTCAGCCACGATGTCTCCACGTAGAACTCCACGTGGCTGCAGCTTCTCATAGATCACAGCTGGCTTCCCGGAAGGAGTGAACAGGGAAGCGCATCCGGAGAGCAGGCATTTAAAGGGACAGAAGTTGAAATATCTTCTGCATCAGTCTCA